CAAGCCGTCTCCAGCCATTATCTTCTCTGTATATTTTCAAAGAGACCTAGAAAACGTGGAAATATGAGTATGTGTCCTAAGTTTCTTCCTGTTTATTCTTTGTGTTTATATTCGTTATTTTCTTCATTATCAAATATTCGGAGTGTTCAACGTTTTCTGTTGAACTTTTTTTCTATAAGTTTTTAGGTTATACTGAAACATACCTCACAGTTTGAAGTGATCGGTATACAGTTGTAATGTCTAACCATGTGAGTTGTCTACAGATAGAGCTTTTCCATTTTGAATAAGTATACGGTACTATTCCAGTCTTTCGAAACACGGACACTTAGTCAACTAGCAGTAATAGTATAGTTTGTTTGTAATTAAACACAAACCTACAAAATGGGCTATCTGTGCTCTGTCCACCACGGGTATCGAAAACCGGTTTCTAGCGTTGTAAGTCCGCAGACATACCACTGGGGGCAATAATAGTATAGTGATCGATGTTAAGGGATATTTATCTCACAGGGAAGATAATAAGAGGATCAGAGATTTTGTGGATAGACTGTTAATTTGAGTACAGTGCATGAAAAAAATTGATTAGTTTATTCTCATATGTTCAATCTCACATTTTTGTTGATTGAAAACTAATCTTAAAAACTGCATTCAAAATGAAACTAATTAAACAAAGGAAATAAAACTACATTAAATTTATTGTAAAATCGCAGTAACTTGAATTTATTGAAAGCAGAAGATACAAGAAACATGATGGTTGGTAGGAGATCAAAGAAAAACTCATAATAACTTCTAGGTCGACCCCAATCTCTCAGTCTTAGAAACAAGTGTAAGAAAAAGAAGTATGAAACTCCTGGAAATAAGTAGTTTTATCACCCACTTTTGATAATTACAGGTGCAGCCTTTCACTAAAAATGTGCTGAAAAGTAATACTGGTAAAGTTCTTCTTTATAGATAACCCTCAAAACTGAAGCTAAATTTCACAAGTTTCTGAACACTTTAGAAAATGTTGTTCAAATGGATGAATACACTATAGAATGGTATACTGAGGTTGGTCTCTCTTTTATAATTCATATCCCAGATCCATGCTTCCTTTGGAACCATTTCAACCATCTTTGATTGTGCTGAAAACAATGGTAATGATCAGGAGCTATTGCCTTGCGTCACAGTTTCCATTGCAACAAACATTTTTTCTTTCTTTTTTTTTTACAAAGGACGGCAAAGCCAATCTTAGACCATGTCGTCTTTAACAAACTTTTCACAGACCCTCCAGTTCATGGGGGCGTTGACTTTCAATACCATGTTTTAGCAGACCGAAAACACAAACGTTCATTGGAACTGATTTGGGAATGTGACAGATATGTGGTAGAAATGGACTGCTGTAATTCTACTTTTTCAGCCATCTATCTCATGAAAACAGCCATTGATTGCGAGGAGTGACTGAAATCTTGTGAGCCTATGCTAACGTCAAATTCTTGTTTATTATTTTTAGGTAGCGACAAATATGTCTAACTTCATTTCACTGCTTGTTTGTATGTCAGAGGGTTCTCTTTCATAGCAATAGCCTTCACTTTGAGAATGGGGGAGGATAAGATCTTTTGCTGAGACATGAACAAATGTAACACGATTTAGCAGTCAAAGAGGACGAGAAAACCTATATTCTCCATGGAGTTCTATCGCGCCAATAACAAATAAGTAAGTAAACATTACGACAACACAGAGTAATCTTCCGGATTGGCTTGGCTATGAATGCAGTTTCAGAATCTATTGTTACCCTAAGTTTCTGCTGTGCGAGTTTTCAGCTTCCTTGGAAAAAAATTGAATGTTCCCTTCTTCAAAATGTCACATCCTTTGGCTCTGTATAAGTTAACAATCCCGCTGTATGATTATTTCTCGTCAGCAGGCTGTGGCATAATTCTCCAGCCGTAAGTTTATCCGTCGAATAGTGCGGAATTCGCCGTGAATCTGATATTTGGGTAATGAACTTAGTGACCATAATACCACGGTTCGCATCAGCTATGAAATGCCACTGCACTAGCATCTACAAATTGAAGGATAGCTACCTAAGCTACGAAAAGTCGAGATCTGGTCTTATTAGTGTTTCAACTATGATAATTAATCCCTATTAGGATGAATTTTGTTCTTTTAGTTTCTGAACCCTAATATTCTGTTATCACTTGAATAAGAATGTACCCTCACTTTGTTTGACGTACACGCATTTCATCTTTTCTTTTAATAGCAAGTCACATCAAGAACTGTTATGTGTTGCTAGAGTTCGGTAAAATTTTAATATTAAAGTAGCTTTAAATTAATATACATTTATGTAAGGCTCCCACTCGAAATATTTGTTATGTTCCCAAGAAATTTATCAAAGTAGTTTTCACTTATCAAAAATGTGGCTGGCTGTTGCTAAGCGCAAAGTTACACAATGGGCTATCTGTGCTCTGTCCATCACGGTTATAGAAACCTGATATTTAGCGTCGCAAACCTGTATACTTATCGCTGAGCTATTGAAGGGGGGGGGGGGGTATTCAAAAGTAGAGGTTGTATGATGCGACGGACTACACTTCATTGTATCACCTGACAGTTATCTGGTAGAATGGGGTTGCTGTAATTCCATTTTATTTAGCCATCTTTCTCAAGAAAACAGCCATTGGTTGCGAGGAGAGGCAGGATGCTTATGAGCCTTTTCCAATATCAAATTAATGTTTATTAGTTTTAGCTACCAGTAAATACGTCCAGGTTCATTGCATGGCGCCCCACCCCCTTAGTGGCTAGGCGGTACGTCAGTGGGTTTATAACGCTAAAAATTGGATTTCGATACCTACAATGGGCAGAGAACAGACTGCTCATTGTGTAGCTCTGTGCTTTACAATAAACAAAATCATTGCACGGCTTTTTTTTTTTATTACGGTAGCCCACACTTTCAGGATGAATATGTGTAAAATCTTTTGTTGAGACATAAACAAATGTAACTGAATTTAGTGGTGAAATAAGGTGAGCAAACTTTATTCTTCAATATGACACTATCGCTTCAATGACAACGAAAAACATTTTTAACGCAGTAGAAAATGTTCATCAATACCTGTTATATTTACGATTCTAGCTACGAGAGGGCACAATAGTCATTTATAAGACGTTTGAGTTTTTTTTTTATATCTCGGTTAACAGTATTGTTACTTTGAAAGTATTCTTTTAACTATTGTTTCTTTTGAAGATTGAAGCTTATTGAATCCGCTTGGATTACAGGTTGACCATTATGAAACTGCAAAACTTAGTTATATTTAAGCATAAGTATTGCGAGTCGGATGCTGGTGGCTTCGATTAATGCTGTCCAATGAAGTAGCTCCTTTCCCGAGCATGAGGATTGGGTTGTGTGCGCGCAAAATTATGCGCAATGCAGGATGCAAACAGAAATTCGGGATTTAAGGCATCTGTGGTACTCGAGATATTGTATTATACCCGTCGTGATCTAGGTTTCGACATTGCCATCTATTTATGTATGCTGTAAAGTGAGGTTTAAGGCGCTTTAAAATGTCTGCAAATAACACCAAACCGTCGACGACAGAGCGGATCGTCAAAAGTAAGTTCTATTTCCGTGATTCAAGTTGCTATTATCTTTTCTAATGCAACATAGCGGAAATGCAAAACTATTCCGCCATTTTGGAGGCTAAGTTGGACACTAATAATTCTCAAAATATATATAAACCGAACGTTTGAGTAAACGGTAATGTTATAAGATAAGTTTGAAACTTCCTTCTACATTCTTGATCATGCTAAATCGTATACAAGGTTATATGCAAGAGAATCTTCATGAGCAAACGCGACTCCAGGTTAACCTGTTGGAGACTGGCTGCTAGTGCTACTTTTTACTTTTAGTTTTACTGTTAGAATATTATGAATATTACGAAAGGTTAAAGCCCGTATATTACAGATATATGATTAGCCATATAGTTAAGGTTAATTTGTTGCAAGCCTAAGAACTTTCATGAGTTCCTTATCTAATCCTACAAGATACATCATATTATCAGGTGTCTGTGTGGAACGATAAGTGAACATGGATTTGCCGCTTATATAATTACTACTATTACTAACATGAAATCAGTAAATGTAAATTATAATAAGCATAATAATAAGGTATAGAACTTGTTCAAGTAAATGTTTCAGAAACAAGTTCAACAAGAAACCTTACTCAGACATAGGTGATGCAAAATTTTACTGCAGTAAGATTTTGAATCGTGTAAATTTTAGGCCTAATGTAGGTTGTGTTGTTGCATGTTCACAATTACTGAATTAGTGATAAAAGTTTGTATAAAGTTACTTAGTCAGTTAATGTTATCCGTTTTGTGTAGAGAAACAGATAGTCACAAGAGTATTGTGTGTAGGTATTTATCATAGGTGACAATCATACGTACTAGTAACATAGGCCAGTTTCAAGTAATAGAATATTCTCATGTGACTTGTTCTTATGTTTTTGATATACAAATATTATTTGTAAAAAAGCCAGAGTAGTAACACTAACACCTGAACTTGTTTGCTTCTGTGACAACTCTGCTCTATTTTCAAGATATTTCTATAATAAATAAATATATAAACTTGAGATTAATCAGAATTTAATCAAGATATATTCCAGAACAGGGTCTAATTTTAACATTTTCCACTATAAAGTACCTTTCTTTTTTCAAAATTATTGACTTCTGTCAAGTCCTATTTTAGTTCAGGTGATTTTTTTCTTTTTAGAATGCAATAAACTGCTTGAGAGATTATTTAAATTATATAAATATTATTTAATACTTAAGTTTTTTTCTGTGACATATTGTCTTTGAAACCCCTTCAGTGTGTAGTGCTGTAGGCCACATTACCTAAATATTTATCAAACTAACTCAAACATTTTTATTTAGTGTAGTTAACTTGCAGATCTGATTATGCTGTATACAGATCATTTCTTTGTTTCTAGGTTTTATCTGGATCTAGAACTATCACTTTTACTCATCAGTTATAATCAGACTAGCCAAAAATTAAAATTGCCTCTAATTAACTTGCAGATCTTAATGTATTATATATATTGTATTTCTTGGTTTTTAATTATTACTTGGTTCTGAATTATCAACTTCATCAGCTTGGAAATGAAACTAACCAAAACAATTGAATCTACCACCTGATATGATCATGTTACATGCATGCCACATCCTCTAGTTTCTAGAGTCTGGAAGCAAAACTGACTAGCATATTTAAAACATCTATATTAACTTGCATGCCTGATCAGCTTATATATTGGTTTTATAATTTTTAAATTGTATGTATATGTTTCTCTAAAGATTGTCAAATATGTTATTGTTGCATGCCTTTTATTTTTCATGAATTCTTTATAACTTTTCATTCCTCTTCTATACCATCTTTTAATATTGTGTATAGGAGAGCCCAGATGGATCAAAAGCTCCCTTGTTGTCATTTAATGTTATGTTATAACAGTATGTATCAGTTATGTTAGCCTCTGTACTATAATTGTTATATAACAGACCTGGATTGTTTGGGTTGTATGTATTAGTTATGTTAGCCTCTGTACTGTAGTTGTTATACAACAGACCTGGAGAGTTTGGGCAGTATGTATCAGTTATGTTAGCCTCTGTACTATAGTTGGTAAATAACAGACCTGGATAGTTTGGGCTGAATGTATCTATTTGTTTTGTTAGCTTCTATTTTGGAGTTGGTATGTAAAAGATGTAAAGTATTAGACAATGCAGTGTATCCATTTTAGCTTCTGTAGCATTAACAAATTCCGTATTCACAAGTTCATCATTGATGATTGAAGTTGATTGAATCCAGAATATGTTTACAGAGTTGAATTTAAAGCAGTGACTGACTGACTTTTTTGTTGTTGTTGTTGAAGTAATTTAAAGACAAAGTAAAAGTTTCAATATTATTTTAACCTAAGTATTGGCAAAAGGTAACACAAATCAAAGTTATAGTGTAGAACTTGCAAGCTATTTTTTTTCTTTTAAAGTTCTTTCTATTGATCAAAAATTCATTTGTTTTGATTTGAAAAAGAATAAGTGGTCTGCATGTTAACTTACATGGATAAAGCCATTTGAATACTGTAGTTAGTTTGATGTTTATGTTTTATTTCATAATATGGTTAATAATATTTTCTGTATAGCAAATTATAGTGTGAACCTTGAAATGTTATGAAAACTCAGGTTTGTATGCTCAGTAGAAGAATTGAGCAAAGTGTGATTTGAAAATATTACATTGTTTTTATGAGTTAGTTTTCAGAGAGTTAGTGGAGCTTTAATTTTTGTTTTTCAAAACCCTTTTAAATATTTGCTTTTCTCATAGCCATTTCTGTGAATGTCATATTTTGATGAGAAAATTATATGTCTAAATCTTAAAACATGCAATATGTGAAAATTGATTAACTCATGTTTTGTGAATATCTTTCTCTTGAATATCAGGATGTAGTAGTGTTTAGAGATTAAATACTTGGAAGATTCAGTTGCTTGGACTATGTTCTTAAGGCAAAATTTGCATATATATCTAAGTATGTAAAACCCTTTTATCTTCAGATCCAACTTTATATCAGCTCAGCTGTCACTGTAACATTCAATTTAAAAGGCTAATTATTTTTTGTGCAGTTCTAAAATGATAAGCTTGTAACTGAATTCTACACATATGTAGTGTTAGTATTAAACCTATAAATAGCAAAAATATTACAAATTATTTTTGACTCCAACTTTCAGGAGGCTCAAAAAGATATAGTATGCTGCACTTGCAGACCTTGATTACTTAAGGATAACTTAGACATAACTTTGAGAAAACTTATACTATTAGAACAGCAGATCTGAAGCAGAAATCAAGGTAGCAAGACATGAAATAGATATAGTTAGAGCAAAGGTTGTTTTTGGAGGAGGGTGAGAATGACATTACTGCATTTACAAGAGTACACATTCAATAAAAAACAAATTTATAGCTAAAGTAATAGATTTAGTTAGCATTTAGTTACCAGCTTCTAATAAATTTGCATCTTTGACTGCTGGTAGTGAGGAAGAAGATCAAAAGGTTTATATAGTTGGGAAAACTCTCATTAAGTATACTGATAAAGATATTTATAGTAAGGAGCATAGAAAGACTAGGATTAGAACTTGCTTTCCCGATGCTAATGTACAGGACATCATAGAGTGTGTTGACTTCGGTTGCTAGTATCAAGGACAATTTTCTCTTTGTAGTGAATGCAAGAGTGAATGATGGTGGAAATTGTAAACCAGAAGAGCAGTTAAAAAGCTATAAAAGAACTCTTCTCAGGGACATAGGGATAGATCTATATAGACTTGTCTTTTTTTTTAGTGTGCTCCCTCAGACTAAATGTGAGAATGAACTACTGTGTAGGATCCAAGGCTTAAATGAAAACTTATCAGGGATATGCTTAGAGTAACAGAAGGACTGGTTGGGCCTGTGGGATACTTTTCAGAGTAAGGGTGAATTATATGCTCAGATGAGCTTCACTTAAGTAGTTTAGTTAGTAGGATGTTAAATTAATCTTACATAATAGTGAGGGTGCTTGGGGAATTGTGATTAAAAAAATTGATAGGGCAATAAGAAGTTTGAAAGTAGGAGATTTAGAGCAATAGTTCTAAATGTAAATTTGTGAGATTTAAAGATAAACATGTTATAAATAGCCCTGGTATGGATAAAAAGTGTTGTTGGCACTTTATATGACAGATATAGTGTGGTTTGCCAGTTCTTCTTAATGATGGTGAAGTTAATTAATATAATAATAATAATAAATAGACAATTGGCATTAATAATAAAAAAAAAATGATATAGTGTTATTAATTCTTACCTCTGATTTTAAAATGACTTAGATGAAAACTGTTAATAACTACAATTTGCTGACTTAATCTAGTTCAAGTCTATTGACACTGTGGTTGCTGACCTGCTCAGGGAACAATAAGACTAGCTTGTAGTGTGTTTTTGTTCATGAAAAGTGATAATATAAATAACTACTAGACCACACTAGACTGCTACTACTATATAATATCTTAGCCAGCCTAATGAGCCCTAGTATTGTGTAAATAGCCTCATTGACACTGGATATGGGAGATGTAGTATGGTTTACATATTATAACACATTCCTCTTTGCTTTCACTCATAAGTTCTTAGAAATAGGAAGTCAAGATTAAGCTTAGTTGCTTTTATTCTAATGTCAGGAATATTAGGTACAAAATGGATGAAACGGTAGACTATAATAGGAATTATTTTTAAATCCTAAATTATAAGTTAGTAAATAGTCAGAGACTTTTTAAGAGAAGGAATAGAGTGGCTCTTTATCTAATCTGTTTGAATTGAAAACATAAAAAAAATAGTAGAGGCTCAGTCTATACAGATTGCAGTCAAAGGTTTCGAAGGATAGAAAGTTTTTAATTAGTAGTTGTTTTAGATGTAGGCAATCTGATCAGACAGATGAGGTCAGTGAGAAATTGTACAGTGAGATCACAGCCTTATTAATAAGATTATTGATACAGTAATTATGGGAGACTAATATCACACACACATTGATTGAGAATCTATGGAGTGAAGTAGTGAGGGGGAGAGATTTCTTGAAGTTATTCATGATGGTTTATTGTACCAAAAGATCAGTCAACCAGAGGGGATTCAATTTTAGATTCATTGTTAACTACTAATGAAGTTATGGTTACAACAACTGAAGTGTGTCGGGGAACATGTGGAGAAGAGTAATCATTGCATAATTATTTAGGTTTGATGTTGCTACATGCTGAGGTAAAAAGAAATGAAATTTTAGTTCCTAATTTTCAAAAAGACAATTTTGAGGTCACAAATTAAGATTTGTGATTATAGAATTTGAATAATGAGTTAAAAGGTGATATGGGACAGACTTGGGAAATTTTAAAAATAAATTACTTTTAATTAAATAAAGGCATGTTCCTAAAAAAGAGGAAAATGATAACAGAGAAGATCAAACCTATTTGGCTGACTAAAGATTTAAAGGAGGAAATAAGTTAAAATTAGTTTAGTTGCGGTTTACTCCTGTGGGTTTAACAGTCATGTTGAAAATAAACGTAATGTTTTTTAAGGCTGCTAATTTTTAAATGATCCATTTTTTCTTAAACAATTTCAGTCATCCCCATATTCACGGGTGTGAACACAGTGTAACAGAGCTAAAAAGTGTTGGAGAGTTTACTATGAGACCTCATATAAGGTTATGAAAGTAAAGGTCTTGGAGTTTATATGTTACTTTACGAGGGCTATCGGATAATAAACTTACCTTTATTTAATCAACACAAATATGAGTGCCATTAAGTTTAATGAACAATGTGGAGTATCTCTTACTTATTAGTTGTTCAGAAGATAGAATTACTTAAATTTTAATCTATAGTTCGAGAAACTTCCTTCTAAAGTTATGAGATAACTCGTACATAATTAAATACTCAAATGTTAGCTATTCTATTGACAGTAGAATCTGTACTTATAATATTAAATTTCTGCTTGGAGCAAGCTACCAAGTTATTTAGGATAGTGATAAATAACAGTATTGAAATACTCGTCATTCAGGGTGCCATTAAAATACAGTTAGGAAGAGCTTGTTATTAATGAGGATGGTTTGTCATAAAGGGTGATGTTGAATAATTAAGGGTGGTGACAAAAATAATGTAAGAGGATGATAAAGAATGATTATGAAGGCCTTATCTTGAAGGGTGATGGTAAATGACAATCATAGAAGTTTTGTGATGAAGAATGATGCTAAGTAATAATCATGAAGTGTTTGCCATTAAGAGTGGTGGCAAATAATGATCTGGAAGGATTTGGAATAAAGATGGTGTTAAGTATTGATTATAAAGTGTGTTGGTAAATAATGACAATTAAGTATTTATCAGTGAATAAGTATTTCTAATTTTTTTATGATTTCTTTTAATCCTTGTTTTCGTAATAGAAT